CAAAAAATCATCGACATTATTAGATAATGTTATAACTAACAATCTTCATAATAGCCGTTTTAAAACTGGTATAATAAAGACTGATTTAACTGATCATTTCCATATATTCCTTATTACTGAGAGCGTCACTCTAAATAATGCTACCCACAAATCAACAATATTCATGAGACATAGCAATGAAAGTTCCATATGCCAATTTAAAAATTTATTAAATAATTACGTCGATTGGAATCTTATACTGCAATCACACGATGTAAATAATGCTTATGATTTATTTCTAAACCAATTTTCTAAAATGTATGATAAGGCATTTCCTTTAAAAGTGAAAGTAATAAACTCAAAGTCGGTTGTATCCCCATGGATGACCAAAGGCCTACTAAAATCATCATGGAAAAAACAAAAATTCTATAATAAATATTTAAAAAATAAAACTTATAAAAATGAAACTAATTACAAAAATTATAAAAGTTTATTTGAAAAAACTAAAAAACGATCAAAAGTAAATTACTATGCTAAGCTGCTTGAAAAAAACAAAGGAAACCCTCATAAAACGTTGACTGTTATTAAAGACTTAATTGGGAAAAATAAAATAGAAAAAAATAACTTACCGCAAAAATTTATTATTGAGGGAAAAATGATTTATCATAAAGAAGTTATTATTGAGAAATTTAACATTTTTTTTATTGATGTTGGCCCAAACCTAGCAGCGAAAATTCCAGTCAGTCAAAAAAAATTTGATTCATATCTTGCAGCAACTGATTTAATTATGGAAGAACCGATTTTAACCAAAAGTGAACGACATAATGCTTTTAGTAGTCTGAAAAAAAAAAGTGCAGGTATTGATCAAATAAATGTTAATGTAATCAAATCTGTTTTTGATATTATCGAACCCTCATTATTCCATATTTTTAATCTTTCCCTTAAATCAGGTCTTATTCCAGATAAACTAAAAATTGAAAAAATAACACCTATTTTCAAATCTGGCGATGAGACCAATATTTCAAACTACAGACCAATCTCAGTCTTACCCTGCTTTTCTAAACTAATTGAACGCATTATGTACAATAGGCTTTATAAATATTTATCTGAAAATAAGTTTTTATATAATAATCAATACGGTTTTAAAAAAAATCATTCTACTGACCATGCAATAATTGAATTGGTTAAGCATATATCAAATAGATTTAAAAGTAATTCCTATACAATAGGGGTTTTTATTGATTTATCCAAAGCTTTGGACACAGTAAATCATGAAATTCTTTTGAAAAAATTAGAAAACTATGGTGTTAAAAATCAAAGTTTACTTTGGTTTAAATCATACTTAACTAACAGAAAGCAATTTATACTTAAAGAATCAAAAGACTCAAAAAACAACTTAATAACTTGTGGAGTACCCCAAGGTTCTATTTTGGGACCATTATTGTTTTTACTTTATATAAATGACTTATATTTATTAAAAGTATTAAATACTATCTTATTTGCAGATGACACTAATTTGTTTTATTCTCACAAAAATATTACTGTTCTTTTTAAAATATTTAACGAAGAATTAGATAAGATCAACGAGTGGTTTATAAGTAACCGACTATCATTAAATGTAGAGAAAACAAAATTTATCCTATTCCATAAACCTAGTAAAGCCGAGAATATTCCTCTAAAACTACCCAATCTTTTAATCAATAATAAAATAATTAAAAGGGAATTGACTAAAAACTTTCTGGGAGTGCTCTTAGATAAAAAATTGTCTTGGAAATTTCATATTAAATATATTGAAGGTAAGATCTCAAAAAATATTGCCATGTTATACCGAACAAAACCTTTCCTTAATAACGAGTCTTCAAAAAATTTATATTTTTTGTTTATACACAGCTATCTTTCATACTGTAACATTTCCTGGGGTAGCACTAATCACACTAAACTCAAAAAAATTTATAGTAAACAAAAACATGCTTGCAGGATAGTATTTGGGGCAAATAGAAAAACACAATGCGAACCTCTCTTACGTCAGCTTGGAGCTTTAAATATTTATAAACTTAATATTCATCAAGTAATGTTGCTTATGTTTAAAGCAAAACTTGGGTTTTCTCCAGTAACATTTCAATCCTACTTTAATTAAATCTCCCATAAATATCCAACCAAATTTTCGGTGAATAACTTTGTGGTTCCCAAAAACTTTCTTAAATTAAGTTCGTACCAAATTCAATATCGAGGACCTTTAGTTTGGAAAAAATTTCTTCCAATCTTTAGCAAAAAACAAAACTTCGTTTTAAACTGCACTTTGCAAAGTTTTAAAGATGATTCAAAACGGCATTTACTGAACATGGAATTCGATATCTTAGATTTCAAATACCTTTTTTGAAAACAATTTAAAGGTTTAAACTAAATCACTTAAAAATAAATTAAATCTTTATCACTTTCTTTGGCTTTTATTAAAATGGTTTCAAACCATTAGTATGAAAGATAACTATTTTTGATGATATTAAATAATCAGCCCAAATACTTATGTTTACATATATTGCTTCTTTTTTTTTTAATTAAACGCATTTTTTTTGTGTGTTTTTATAACTTTCATGATTTTCTGTCGTTTTTACTTTTTTATTTTATTTAAAACTATTCTGCTGGAAGATTGTTAGTAACAAATTAATTTATTGCTGAAGTTTTTGATTTGTTTTTGTTTTTGTATTTATACTGTCTTTTTGTCTTTTATCATTTATTGTGCATGTAAATTTTTGTGTGACGGGGCTCGGTGATAAGATAACCTGTCTTCTTCTTGCTCCGGCCAGGATTTTCTTTTATTGTAATTTCTTTTTTGTAATACTTATCAACGGCACAATAAATAAATAAATAAAAATAAAAAAATAAAAATGGTGCACAAGCTTTTTTTGAGGAATAACTTTCAAAATGTGTCAAAACGTAGAAAATAAGGCGTTTTACTTAAAAAAATGCAATGTACAGCCATAATTCATTTTTTTTCGAGAATAAATTCAAGTGTTCCAATTAAGGCGCGGTTCCAATTATGGCAACTCTCCCCTACTATAAATTTAATTATTATTAATTGAATAATCGAACTGTACGTAATAATATCGAATAATCGAATTTTACGGTATAATATCGAGTACTGTATACTTTAATTAACTTAATTACAACTAAAAGTTTGTAAGTTTTCTTTCCTTATTTATTATCAGCATTACTATTATTAACTTCTTTATTCCTCATTACATTTATGGAATTTATTTTATAAAATCCTCTCCGTTTTGAACTAAATGTCAAGACAACCGCTTTCTCTTATTCATTTTTTGAACTGCTTTCTTTTTGTTTTAATTGCTTATTTCTTTAACCTATTATATTATAAAATCTGGTTTTATAAAAGTTATTTTTTATTTTTATTTATTCTGTTGAATTCATTTTACTTTATATTATCAGATAGTAAATATTATCAAATAATATAAAATATGTGTAAAGACACTTTACGTTCACATTAAGGACTTGATGATAACTACTGTCCAGTGGCGGATTAAAACCTGGGGTTATTTTTTTTTGGAGGCCTTTTAATAGGCCAGAGCCTAAAAATGACTTGAAGTAAAAAAAGTTCCTCTAAAGTTTTTTGGGGCCCCTAAATTTGCGAGGCCTGGGGCTGTAACCCCCCTAGCCCTTCCCTTGATCCGGCACTGCTTCTGCCGTCTTCTTGCTCCAGTCATCTTCGGGACCAATTTTAGAAGTTTATGTCTTTATCTTTAAGAAGTTTTTGTTTAAGTTTTATGGAGTGATATGCTTACAGAAAGTGATCATATACTGCCTTGACGACAAAGGAAAATATTCAGCTTGTTTTCGTAATCGAACGACAAAACAGTACATTCTTCTTTATTTTGTTTGGAACTCATAAAATTGTATTGTTTATATGTGATATTCTTTCTTAATTTGAAAAATTAGTCAAGTTTTTCATCGCATTGTATTGATCTTTATCGTTTTCTTCAAGAGCTTTGTGCATTTTTACGTTTTTCAATGCTAAATGCAATACTAATGCCATTTTTTTTCAAATCTTGTGTAACTCCTGTTGTAACTAAATGCAACTCGAAATCTTTTGAGACTCAAGATCATCCATTTTTGCATTGAAAACAATACCTTGGTAATTTGTTTAGCAGCTCATTCTGCAAATGTCCGTATTCATTGCTATGTCAAAAGATTATAGCGTTATTTGTTCAACAGTTTAACGCAGAGTCAAAGTTTAGCATTTTATCAAAAGAATGTTCTACTGCAAGAAAAATAATCAACTACAAAAAAAACCTTTCAGCTTTAATGAAGTTTTTACTTGCACGCAAGTAATCACTGGATTTTAAAATACTTCTATAAATTGAAAAAGTAAATGGTATTTAATTTACTATTTTAAAAAGTCAAAATACAAGTTTTAGCTTTAGCCAACATACATACCACAACAATATACAAAAGGAACAGAATTTCGTTGCACCTAAGAGTGCCGAATATGTGACAACTCAACTTAACTTCTGGAACCTCTCAACGACTCAACATCATCACAAGAATAAATCGTTCCTTTTCATTAATTCATTGATTAAGCTGTAATTATTGGGTTTTATCCATTGCACATTTCATTGGCCTTAAATAAAAAAGTAGAACGAAATATAAATATTTTTTAAACTAAATTTAAAAAAAAGTTTATTATTTTGATATATCTAAATACAGCTCCAAATTCTCTACAACACTTTTTTCCGTAAAAAAATATCAATTAAAACATTTAAAAAGTTCATTTGTTTTCACTTTACTTTTTAAAAGTAATTTTTTTTTGCTATCCATACAAGTATCGGGCGAATCGCAAGTTTAGTTTGGCTATGCATACAAGTATCGCACAGATTTTTGTATACGCAACGTACCTTTTATAAAGGCAAATCTTCGCAAATCTAAAAAAATCCACAAAGGATTATTTCCATAAAAAGGCCAACAAAAAGACAATAGAAAGCTGACAAGAGTGATAACTGTTACACAAATTTAATTTGTTATAATTAATTCAAAGTATATTTACAGGAAATAGACATGTATTGAAATAAATAAATAACATCGTTGTGATTTATAAACATGAAAATGATGGTGTTATTCAAGGGATTTATTCATGTTTTATAGCAATCTATATTAAACATGCTTTTTACTTTTTCTCGCACTTTTATAAGATACTCGTATTAAATATGTTCTTGAATAATATAATTTTTCATAAATTACATTTTAAGAGTTATGGCCTATGTTATGGGCACCAGCATTCGCTAACAACAGCGTCATCCCATGATCCAATTTTAACTTTTTCATTTTCAAAGATAATATATTTCATTGGTTTTAAACTTGAAGGAGAGCATGTTGGGAGATGCATTGGTTTCACACCTTTTTGTCTTGAACTAATCAGTTCTTGAATAAACGCACGAGTGGATTTCATAATTTTAGAATTTTTACCAAATGGAATTGTGCATGACCCAACACATCGGTAAAAATTAGCTTTTTTTGGGATCAAAACATTGCTAAATTCGGAGTAGTCTCTAAATTTGAAAAACATATTTTTTTTACGGCATCCGACGTTAGTATACTTATTGGCGGTATCTCTTGGTAATCTTGTATGATTTACTGAGTAGTTTGTTATAACTTTTGATTGGTTAGTTTTGCTGTTGCGAAAATTCTTTTCATTTCGGTTTTGAAGTTTTAAACTTCTTACAAAATTGGGTAACGTTTTTGACTGAAAACAATTTTGATTTTTGCTTAATTTTTGCGTTTGGTTACGAAAAAAGTTTATAAAGTTTAATTTCTCTTTTTCTGCTTTTGAGTACAAGATGAGCAAAGGCTCTAAAGTTTTACTAGTGTTTGTGGCAAGCACAATCGTCGGAAAGCTACCAGAAAACTTTATGTTTATTTCAATCGAGAGATTGATATTACTCAGTTCAAATAATTTTTTCACCTTTTTAGTTAAATCAAATGATATCCACGCATATCCTTGGGAACTGATGATAAAAGATGCCTTAACATTAAAGTTTTTTATACTTACGGATACTACGGCTAAAACAAACTTATTTTGAATAATACGTTTAACTGGAGTCTTCGATCGAAATGCACGAAGTTCAATTTTTTTAATTTCCTTTAATTTGTAATCAGGGAGTTTGAATCGGTATAAATAACTGTTTAACGAAGAGCGTTGAGATATACCTAAAAAAAAAAAAATGTATAGATGTCTTTAAATACACTTAAAAAAACTATTTACATGAATAAAAGCTGCGATTTAAAAAAGTTATATATTTAAAAAGGTATTTCTTAGGAAAGATCGGAACAAGTTGATTTGTAAAGCTAATGGGGAGCGATGTTCTAGTATTTACTTTTTTCCAAAAAACATATAAATTAAATTAACTTTTACGCCCATGTGCACATTTTATATTATTGTTAAGAAACATTTTTTCTAAACTGTTTAAAGAATCTCATCCCTTTTTTATACAATATTTTTTTTTTCAATAAATTTTATATAAAAATATTTGTTTTCTGAAATCTCTTTGAAAATACGCTTCTTTTGAGACCCAGCTTGATTTACTTGACCTTTAACTTAACTTAACCCAAATATCATAACAACTTGACGTGATAGTAAAAATAGTTTGCAAAATAGGTTGCAAAAAATGAGAAATTTTATATGAAAATAACGCTTCCTCAACAACAGAATTTTTGCTGTTGTAGTTGTTGGCCTGTGTTATTAATTAATTACCAGTTAAACAATCAGTTATTAATTAATTATCAGTTAATCAAAATTGATTTATAAAATAAGTCACGTTATTTAATGTTTTTGTTTAAATGCTTATAATTTGCTTTATTAATACGATGATAGGTAGAACTGTTATCATGAGCCCTGATAATGCCAACCTAGCTGACCCAAGAACGCCACTTAGGGATCGTCCATAAAGTATCTCACGCTATTTTTTTCAATTTTCAACCCCTTCCCTCCTGTCACAAACTGTCATATATTTCTGCACCCCCTAAAAAACATCTTCCCCCCCCCCCCCCACACACACACACACTTCTTAAACAAAAAAACAAATCATTACGGAATTTTCAACATTCTAACAACATAGTAATAGTTATTTAGCAGAGTAAAAAAGAATTTAACTAATTTGGAATACCTTTTTAATTTATTGAGAAAGATCGTCATCATAAAATAAAAATAGTTTTTTTATTTTTTATTTTTTTTTTTTTTTTATTTATTTACACTTTTATTTATTAGACTAAAAAAATTTACAGTCGTAACTTATAAAAAAAAAAAATACATGACCGGGGCTAAAAGAAGACAAATTTAGTCTTATCATTAAGCCCCAATAAAGCCCCAATTTGAACCATATGTTTTTCAAATTACAAATTAAACTTTTATTTTATCTATCCATTTATCATTATCTATCCACAGAGAATTGAAGTGTTCTTCTAAACTTAGGACAGGCATTTCTAATCTTTTTCTAAATCTTCATTTGGAATCTAAGTTCTTGAAACTTCGACTTCATCTTCATCCAGTCACTCTTTATTTTTTTATATCTTCATTTTTTTCTCGAGCAATAACTACCATGAGCTTTGTTTGTCTTCTAGCGGCTACAATTATTGGTCAGATAAGCCTTGTTTGAGTTTTCTCAAGAACGTATTTCTTTTATCGCAATTTTTGTGCAATCCAACATGTTTTTTAAGATGGCTTGAGAAGCAAAATAGAGATGGGAAACTTTGCATATTCAAGCAAATAAAGTCTGTACTGATTGAAAGAAGAGATAATAAGGATGAACTCGGAAATTTCGTGCCGATCTTGCCATTATATCATCTATTTTAATACTATGTGAAACAATAAGTGATGGAAACTTATGACTCACTTGTCAGCTTGAAGACCATTACTTGTTTGAATAATTGGAATTGGAGGGCATAAGAATCACGAAGAAACAACATTGAAATATGAGCTTCTAATTTTAAAACAAAATTTATATCTTGACATTTAATAATTTGAGTAAAGTATTGACTTGTGTGGACATGTTCAGAAAACCATTTTATATCTTTAATTATCAATTCTTCTACATCTAGCTCAGATATCTTGTCTTTGCGGGCTTTGGTATGTGACCTCTAAATGGCCATTAGCCAAAGGAGGACCACAATACCAATGTATATATTAAGCATATAATACACAAATTAAAACCTTATATGTTGGGAGTAAACATTAAAAATGAGCTTATGTATTGATATTTATAATTCAGTAGGTATATATCCGATCGGGCTGAAATAAATTTTACCTGAAAGTGATTTTGACCTCGAAAATGTAGAACATCCCGGTGGATTACTTACTAAAGATTCATGCTAGACACAGGAAAAGCTTGCAAAAACTTTAGGAGTTGATCAACCAACAGTTTCTTGGCGTTTAAAACAACTGGGAATGATTCAAAAGGAAGGGTGTTGAATGATTTCAAATCGAGGGATATTGAAAGATGGTTTTTTACCTGCAAACAGCTGCTCGTGCAACAAAAAAAGACAAGACTTTCTTTATCGAATTGTTACTGGGGATGAAATATCAGGTCAGAAATGTATTTGTCTGGCAAGCCATTAACATTGACAGCGAAACAGAATGTTTATAGTTTTAAGCACATACTCTGTATCTTGTGGGACCAGTTCGGAATAATGTGTTTAGAGCTGCTTAAACCGAACGATTTCAACGAGACAATTACAGCAGACCGCTACCGACAACATTTAATTATGCTGAGCTAAGCATTGAAGTGTAAAAGGCCGAAAAGACATAACAAGGTTATTTTTCAACAAGGCAACTCCCAACCCCATGTTGCAACTGTTGTAAAAAACTATCTGGAGAACCTTAAATAGTAAGTTGTTCGGTTAATGACAGACAGAGCAGCGATTTTCTTAAGATGATACTAAACAATGGGTCGATGACTGGAATGCCTCAAAAGACCAAGACTTTTTCCAGTGTTGAATCCGCATAACGGGTGACAACTAAAAATCGAGATTGGATTTAAAGACACATATCTCCTTAAAGGAATAAGGATTTTAAAAATAGGAAAACTGTTTTAGAAGGTATTTTTATTCTAGTTTTTAACTATTTTATGTGTTTTTATTTTACATAAAAAAATGAATTAAAATACAAACTCAAAACAAGAAAAGATTAGAAAACGTGTGTATGAACTTTATTTAAATTACAAAAACGCTGGTAAAAAGTTCACTTATGACCTCTTTAAAGTTAAGAATATACCTAAAATTATATCTACAAAATAATTAAACGTGCTGAAAGTGAATCTGGGTACCAAAGAGTTTAAGGAAGTAGTGTAAAAGCTGAAAAAATGATCAGGACAAACATTGAAAGGCTGAAACTCATGTTTGACCATAAGGACGGAGTTTCTCAACGACAGGCAGCTAAAAAGTTCAAATGTACTCAGCAATACGTTAGTAAAACATTAAAAAAAACGATAAAATATTAAATCAAGAAAAAAAATGACTTTGAATTGAAATGAATTGATTCCAAACGCTCTGACCAGCAAAAAGCAGCAGTTAGAACTAAGCGCAGTCAATTGTGTCAGAAATTCAAAAATTGTAAACCAATCATTGACGATAAGTCTTATTTCACGTTAAATCACTCCAGTATCAATGGAAATGATATATTTTATACTAGTAATATAAAATTTACTCAATCTACAATTAAATACCAAAAAAATATAAAGGTTTTAAAAGAAATTACTTCTATAGATTACTTTTTCTGAAAATGGAATCTCTCAACTTTATTTTGTACCAAGGTTATAAATCAAAAAATCTATTTAAACAAATGTATTAAAAAGAGACTTATTCCATTATTCAATAAGTATCATTCAAATGGTGCATATGTATTCTGGCCAGATTTAGCATCATCTCACTATACAAAAATAGTAATCATGTACCTAAATAAGGAAAACGTGCATTATGTTGAGAAAGCGGATAACACAGCAAACTTGCTAGAATGCCGCCCTAAGGAAAGTTTTGAAGTATTTTGAAAGGCCTTGTCTACAAGAATAATTGCTGCATGCAGAAAAATCTTAAAAAACTACGTTCTAGAATCAAATATTACCTTAACAAAATTGATATTGAACTCATACGGAGACTAGCTTAGTCTATACCAGGTCTAGTTGAAAAAGTCAGAAGAAATGGTTTAATTGAGAACAGCTGATTATATATTTAAAAACTAGAATAAAAATACTTTCTGGAACGTTTTTTATTTTATTTTTTTTATTTTATTCATTTAAAGAGATATGTGTCTCTAAATCCAGTCTCGTTTTTTAGTTGTCACCCGTTACTACCTGATTAATGGGAGAGGATTGTATCTGCCGATAGACTTTTGTCTATCGTGTTTTATATAGATAGTCTGATAGTCTTTTTTGTTGTTGTTGTATTTTATTTAAAAAAACGTTTATTTTCAGTGTATACTCTCAATATATACGTTTTAAAAGACTTAATCTAAATTCTTTTTCTACGTTTAATTATCCTATTAAAAACATGGAAATAAATTTAATCTCGATATTTAATGGTTGTATGTTCTAGATATTATTCTGGATTTCAATCTGAATGGATAATCAATCGAAACTAAACGTTTTTTCTAAACTTTAATTCAACATTAAATAGACGTTTATGTGTTTATTAAAATCTTTCTCTTTAGATAGAGATCTTACCTTTTTTGTGCTTCTGAAAATATTTTTACAATCGTTACAGATTAGTTGTTTGAAAACAACTAATCTGTAACGATTAACTTTCCACCAAACTTTTTAGAATAGTCAAGCTTTTGGAATAGTAAGTTCATTTATCTAAACATTTCTTTTTTATCTTACCTATTATACTATTATTATATATTCTAGACATTTTTGAATATTTTACTTTATTTTCTATAGGATAGCTTTGAAAATGAGTCTTATAAAATTTTGTTGAACTCAGAAGAACGACTTCCTCCTTCGAGTGGCACGTTGGCAATGTCGGCAACATAAATTGAAAAAGAAAACAATATTTTGGTAAAATTTGCTTCGCAAAGATTCTTTTAATTATTTTTGTGAATTTGTGAAAATTATATACTTATTAAAATCTTTATTTAAAATATTAGAATAAAGATAAAATAGGTGAAGCAATTACTACAAACGATCCTGCTTTGTGGGCTGAAAATATGTCCAAAGTTGAAC